TTTATTGCCAGTTTGATAATGGTTACATTTTCTAAAGGGCAGAAATGAGCTGCAGGTGCAAACTGGAGTACTGCTAACGACCTGACTTGTACGTGCAGACTGCACTCCCACCAGGGACATGGGTGTTTTGAAAATTTGGAAGGAGGTTGCCAGATTTTCATAAGTGCCTAAAGATGCCTAGTGGGGTTTTCAAAAGCATCAAACCTGCTTAGGTGCTTTAACTCCCCTTGATTTCAATGTCAACGGGACTTAAGCTCCTTAGCCTGCATAGGCATTTTTGAAAATCACACTAGGCATCTGTGTACATCTTTAGGTGCCTCCATACATTACAGAATCTGGCCCCAAGTGTTTAAACTTGAGTGGTTGACTCAGGTGACTGGTGGTAGGATAGAGGAAAGAGTTTGAATCCTGTGTTTGGTCTCTGATGGACCAGGTGTCAATGGGTAATCTGAGACTAAGGACTGAAAGGCAATGGAAACAAGCCCATCCTCTCACCTCTTGAGATATCTCCTGCTTGGGCTGGTTGTCATTACCTGCACAGTTCCCTGGGTTTGGATAGAGAGAGCTGCAGTCTCTAGAGATATCAGTCTGGCCTCTTTCACAAGCACTAAAATGCCTTGCATCTTTGTGAAAGGGCCCTAGAATGCACAGCTGGCATTCCTGATCTTCTATACCTTGCGTTGTAATCTTTAGGCAGACTGAGGACTCAGTAATGCTTTGTGGTGACACCACTGATCCATTGGGGTGTGGTCTTGCTTTTACCTATTTTATTAGGTATCCAGCCACAGAGGAGCTAAACATCCTCTGTAAACTTCCTCTCTTTATTCTCTCAGGTCTGATACTAGAGCACCACAGGTGTGCAATGGTGCTTTAGACTCAATGTCCTTCACCAAAGAGCACCCCTATCCAGCATCGGAGCCTACCACCTACTGTACCGAGGTGCTCTAGTATGCACCTGGAAGGGGGCCTTAAAGAAAGCACCCATCCTTTTTATTTGTTCGACACAATCAGAATGGTTATACTTGTTCAACTCTGTCAGTGTCATAGAACGTAAGCAAAAAATAATGCATAGACTGGAAATGGGCATTTACTACTTACTCTGTTCACAAACTTTTCTTGCAGAGGCCGTTTCTCCTCCAAATTGTTATTTGGCTGTAGAGATCTTGCGAAGCGAGTAACAAAACCATTGCACATTTAGTTCATTTAAAATGCAGACTTTATTACTGGTTCAGAAAACATTAGAATTGAAGACCAACACACGCTGGTCTGCAACAACTCCTTTCAACACAACCTTCATACAGTAACTTCACTTGTTATTTACACAACATACTATGAACCCTCTTCTGCCTCTCTGCTCCATGGCTCCAGTTTTCAGGAAGGGTAAAGGGCTGTGCAAACCAGTTTACTTGTTTACAATATGAACCAGAGACAGGCTGTTGTAAAACTGCTGTGCATGCATCTCACTTTACTTAGTCACTGGGAGGGACCAGCAGGCAGGAGTTTGCTTTGTTCAGAAGTTTCTAAAGTTGGAAACAGCTGACCAACCTGTATCCACACCCTGCCTTGCCAAAACTGAACTGGAGAACACTGCAAGACAGGAGGTTCCCACCAACTGGTATCCTCTGCTTTAATACAGGGCTTGTGAGTTCCAGATGTCTTTCCCTTAGTCAAATCGCATGCGCTTCAACAACCCGTGCAGCTTGGAAACCTGCAGCACATCTTGGCAGGAAGGTGTCAGAGAGAAAGTCTTAGTCCAGCGAATTGGGTAGTGTTGCCCAAAGATGTTGGGAACGCCTTTCCTTGCTGTTAACATGAATTGCATGGAGAGGAACACATCTATCCACTCTAAGCTGCTCTTACCATCTCAACTTACATGCCTGCTCCCCTCCTTACCCACTGCTCTTCAAGTATTTAGTTATTTGGCATATTTAGTTTATGGAGAATATACTAGTTATGGCACAATAATCAACAGTGCATAGCATTTGGTGAACAAGCTCACACTGTCAGAACAGCCTTCTCCTAAGGCATGCCACCTTTTTCCTACTTTGATTATCCATTTATTCTATGCGTTAACTGTTCTAAGTGCCGCTACCTAATGGCACTCTGTGCATTAGCATTTTGCTAACCAATTTATGAACAGAGCCGGGGACTGACTTTCAGCTGAAGTCAGCGGGTGCTGCAGATGGTCCCTGAAAAACCAAGCCCTAGAGGCATTATTTTGTTCTCCCTTTAAGGCATTTGGTTTCCATGGGGGGGGGGGGGTCTTTGCTATTCTGTCTATGTATTCTAGAAGTGCTTTCTGAACACCCATAATAGAGCATACCACAGTAGGAACTGTGAACTTACTCTGTAAGGGGGGGGGGGGGGGGGGAGAAAGGCAAGGAGAAGGTTCTTCATGATCATACCTAGAGGTTTTTTTGGGGGTGGATGTAAACACCCTTTCTAAGCCCCCCCTTCTGCCTACTGATCTCAGTCTATCTTACAACACCCACTGTCAGCTCCTAGGTGAATTAGTGAGTTGGGCACAAGAGCAGAATAAGGCCCCACAGGAGTAGCGTTTAATGCATTTCCTAAACCAAACCTCACATGCTCCCCAATTCTCCCAGGAACCAAGTGTTCAGAAGTAGAGTGACAGCAATGGGAGCAACAGCTTTGGTGCATGTCAGTCAGCCAAAGTCCTGCTGAGCAAGCACCAGGCTTCTAAAGCGCCACTGAAACTGCCTGGATAAGAACTCCAGGGCACAGCCCCTGTGCTATTTCTCTAGCTCAGAGCAGCATAAATCAGAATCCAGTATGCAGCTCCCCCAGATAGTGGAGGGATTCAAGACCATGGCAGCACAGGGCCGGTCATCTTGCTGCAGATGGCCTGGGGAAGTGGAGAGAGCCTGTTAGGGCTGAAACCTCTACCCAGGGGTGGTTCTGTTCTCAACTGAGCCTCCAGGAGGGGATGAGGCTGCTGAGTGGGCAGGGCACAGCAGCTAAGGTTCTCTTCTACAGGGGTCCTCTTTTTATCATTCAAGGGGGAAGCCAGGATTGCAAGTTTCATAGTGTTTTCCTACACGGTTACCAAATTTTGGCTACAAGGCAACTACACAGCTTTTTTGCCTTTAAGGCTGGTTCTACCTTGCTCCCCCTTCAAACTATTTCACTACAGATAAATAGTAAGGGAACTCTTACTGCCATGCAAGATAAACATTACACTGCTATGATACCAGGGGATCCTTGCTTCCTGAAAAGGGGGGGGAACCCCACACTCTCTCCTCCTATTGGGTAATTTTGTAATGCTAGATAAACTATTAGAAGCAGTCAAGCTTTAATCTCTTGTAAGCAGTTTTAAAAAAAAAAAACCTAGGTAAAGCCTAGGTAAGATAAACCAATCAACTAACCTTTAAAATGTCAGAGAGACCTGTAAAATAGAACTGTTCCTTACACTGTCTTCAGGATTTTTTTAAAAAATACTGTTCTAATCAAAGCTGAGAGATTTAGTGCAGTGCATGTCTGCATGATAAAAATATTTTTGCTTGGTCTTCAAAAGTAACACTGTCAAATGCTAAGAGGGGAGGAAAAAACAAATCAGAAACAGCAGACAAAGCCAATAAGACAACTGCTAACATTCACGTCACACCACAGTTAAAGAAAGCTAACAGTAGCCTTTAAGTATTTCCCAACCTCTCTGAAAACAGTCACCACAATTAAAAAGTTTTCCTTCCTTCAGAAGGTACAGTATTATTGTAGGATTTTTATCTGCCAGCTGATTTCCACAGGAATTATAAATACATTTGTCAAAAGACTACAAAAACTGAGATTGAGAATTTCTCTCAAGGACAGAATTCCTTCTGCTATAAATCTAAAGCTAGAGAAATTACCCTGTTTGTAAAATACTGAAGGCTTCTTGGAAGTACAGCAGTCTGTAGATTCCTACACTTACTTTGTGCATTGTCATTCTGCATGATTTGATTGGGAAAATTGAAGTATATTATAAAAGTAATTGTATTCTATATTACTTTATTTGTAGCAAATGCTATTAGTCCTAAAATAATATACACAACATGCAAAAAGTTATGCTGTTGTTCAAAAGACATTTAACCATTAGAGAAATTAGAAATGGGAGCTCATGCTTTCAAATTCATTAAGCCCAAGTATAAGGCAATACTTATTTTTCCCAGCTGCCCAAATTTGTATGTTCTAGTTAACTAGACAATGCGATAGCATGGATAGGTCCAGTCAAACAATTCAACATTTAGTTTATTTATATGGACAGCATAAGATTTTATTTAAAAATAGGCCTGGTCTATCTTCCTATTTTAAAATAGGAAAGTTTCTACCAGAAACTCATTGTTCAGTTTTGATTCAGATGGTTTCTATTTTAATGCTAAGCTAATCTTTAAAAGTTAGCTGGATAAGTAAGTTTTTGGAAAATGTGCGTGCCATCTTTTATTAAGCTACAGGTATGTATATGCAGAAGAGTGTACTGTCACATTCCACATGCAAAGCATTAATTTATATTTCCTCAAGTGTCTCTTCCTTCCTTCAAACAATTTTCCTTTTAAGTACACTGAACCAATATTGCAGCAATACTGAAGTTTCTGTATAGCGCCACCTGTAGCATCCTTGTTCAATTAGCAAAATTCCCATGTGCAGAGAGAACTTACTGTCTGGAACAATGGTACACCTCTACCTTGATAGAACGCTGTCCTCGGGAGCCAAAAAAATCTTACTGCATTATAGGTGAAACCGTGTTATATCAAACTTGCTTTGATCCACCAGAGTGTGCAGCCCTGCCCCCCCCAGAGCACTGCTTTACTGTGTTATCAGAATTTGTGTTATATTGGGTTGTGTTATATCGGGGTAGAGGTGTACTTTCAGGAGAAAGCTTTTGAATATAGCAAAAAAAGATCTTGTTACTGCTGTTAGGGTAGAATTTAAATGATAACTTATGCTCTAATGCATTATGCTAGAAAAGGCAGTCCCAATTTCAATGCATGGACATTTGTAAGTGCTGCAGAAAATCTTTTCAATGTTGCATCAACATTAGACGTTAAATAGGTCTTATGCTTTTTACCCTCACCATAAATGGTCCCCATTATGGGACTGTATTGTGGTACTTAACTATGTAACTCCACCATAACCACCTTAGTAGGCACCTAAAATGCTTTCATCCCAAGCATGATATAAATGGGGAAGGACTCTTTAGAAGCAGGGTTTTCCTTTTAAAAAACGTAAAAGGGAAAGTCAGGGCCTTTTTACAATCAGCTTGAGGAGATCTATTTATTCTTTAGACTGTCTCTATTCATCAAATCTTCATCCACATGGTCATTTTTAAAACTGGCCAATTCTCTGCTCTTTAGCTTTTTCAAATAATCATGTGGCCCTTTCCCTTCAAAGGAAGAGGGGCTTTTGTAGGAGCCCCCAATTTTATCCCAGAGTGTGAAATACTGACCATAGTTGTAATCAAAATATAAATGATGATCAGTGTGATGGGCAGAGCCATTGATAGTGTGTTTCAAGAAATCTGGCACGCGGTAATCGCCATCATGAATAGAGATTGTCCAGACATTGACAGCGATGTAGAGACCCAAGTAGGTCACCTTGTGCAAAGGAAAGAGGAAAGGATAGATGTGATATGGAATACTCTGCAGGAAACCATCCACAGGGTGGAAGGCGTGACTTGCAAATGGCGTAGCAACCTTCCAGCGGTGATGGGGCTTGTGCAGACGCTAAAGAAGAACAAAACAGAGTTAGCGCCTACATTTTGACAAAGCCAAAAAAAAAATGTGTGCTTCAGTCTGGCACCTCCCAGGTCCACGTTGCCTACCATATGACTAGGAAATGTCTGCATAACTGCATTTTACTGTAGCTCTATTTCTTCCTTGTCCCTCTCAACCTGTAAACTGACACAGGGTATGTAAGCTAAGAGGTGTAACACATGCAAGCTCTGCTTGAGCTTGCGTGCTAAAAAACAGCACTGTGGCCATGGTGACAGCTTGGGCTAGCTGCCGGAGTCTGTACCCAGGGGATCTGGCAGTTCGCATGAGCTGCTGCAGCCCCACTGCTACTTTTAGTGTGCTAGCTGGAGCCGAATCCAGCTGCTGTGTAGACATAAGCCCTCCCCTCCCAAACAAGCATTATCTGGAAGCAGGTCCAGATGGCTTATTTGCCACCCTGCAATTTGCTATATTTAAATCCCTATTGTACTGCAAAGAAGAGTGTCAGATTAAAAAGTACATTTTGCATATAGAGTTTGACACAGAATTTGAGATTGCCACAGTGTTAATGGGTCAGGTTAACTCGAATGACACCGCCACCAGGGCCATGAGAAACAAGCCTTTATCTTAGGCTAGAGTCAAAATGATATTCCTATGTTATGCTCTTAGGGCCTGTTCTGAAAGCAACTAACATCAGTGGAAAGATTCCACTTACTTCAGTGGGGGTGTAGCCACAATGTCTTTTACAAGCAATTGTAACCAGTTCCCTCTGGGTGAAGTTCTCATTTTGCCAATGGAGGGAGAAAAGGGGATGGGACCTATCCTAGGCTATAGGGGCGATTCTCTCAACTGGGTTTGAACACTAGAGCTCCTGACTCAGGCCATGAGCTGAAACCTAAAATGCTCACTTACGTTATACCATCATTGGGCTAGAAGGAATTAAGCATGGAAGCAGCCCCAATTAATCCCATGGGATTACTCATGGGCACAAGTTCTTTGATGAATTGAGGCCTAAAACCTTCCTTTGTCTATTGACATTGTGACAGTGTCTTTCAACAGCAACATATTTAACTATAAGGGGTGCAACCAAAATACATGGCGGGGGAGGAACAAACACCTCATCCCCTTCCCAGCCCTTTTATGCTGCTTAAAAGGGCCAGAGCTGAGTCAAGGAGCTGGTAGAGCCTAGGGAGGATTCCTCCAGCCCAGGAACTGTGGCAGACATTCAGAAGGCTGCCCTCTGAGGCCTCCCCTTGCAAAGCCCAGCATAAGGGCTAGCACAGGGACAGGGCTGGGAAGGGTGCATCAAAGCAGGGCTGCAGCACAGTGATTCTAAGCAGCATTGCCACAAAAGAGGGTAGCCTAGGGAAGCTGCCATGCCTTAGACACACCCACATGGCTCCTACCCCCAGAGGAACCCAGGGTCAGGTAGGCACGAAGGTGGCTTAAAGCCACTTAACCTGCCTCCCTCTGGGCTGCAAGTTCTGTGTTACACCTCTTAGAGATCTTAGTATTTATAGTAGAAAGAACCACCACCCAGTAAAGGCCCATTACATTTTAAAGCAGTCTTGCTAAACTGCCCTTAAAATATACCAAACCAGACAATCTACTTGTCTGTCCTTTCTAAGGACAAACAATGAAAAATATTTTACTCAGACCTTCCTGGCAACTGCCCCCTGTTTAGAAAAGGGAGGGTCACATCCTGGGTGAGTGGTTATATAAAGTTGTTCTGAAGTCTAGTATGCTTTATATCTATCTACTCTTACCTTGTACACAAGTTTATGATGGAGGAACCTGTGAATCCAGTAAATGCACATGTCGGTGAAGAAAAGGAAGGAGAGCATGCTAAGGATTACACCAAACCATCCTAGGAAAAATAAGACTTAATTTAGGATTAAGAGATTACAGACAATTAGGTAAGTGTCAAGATAGTGAGAAATAAGTCTGAGAAGATACAGGGAATGTAAAATCTTTTTTTAGTAATTCTTTCTATATCCTGAGGCTAAGAAATTTAGGTTATAAAAAGCTAGCTCAGCCAAACAGGATTTGTACTGTATTAGTGTAGTGATTCTTGCTGGTGAAAAGTTTGATTGCTTTTAGGCTCTAAAATGCTGAACTGAACCTAATGGAGAAGATTTCAGTACAGTCTCTCATCAATGAAGTGAGCTGATCTTAACACCATCCTCCTAAAAAAACCAAACACATTAGTACTTTAAAGGACACTGTCAAGTAGATAAAGTTACACTTTCACACACACCAGCATAAACCAACAGAAACAGAGGTGTTTTTTCCAAAACATGTGAAGACAGGAAGCAACACAAGACTGTTTTGTTTTCACTTTGGAACCAGTACACAGATTAGATAACTTCAGTATCTCTGGCTGCCTTTATCTGTAAACTAGGACTCAAGCTGTTTGATGACTTCAAGATAAACAAATGCCCTTATTACCACTAACACCTTCAAACTGAAAACTACAACTATTTACTTGGTTTGTTTACATTTTGTATTGGTCACCTGGCCAATGAAACATAGTGAAGTCTCATGGTTTCCTGTAAAAACAGGAGTACTTGTGGCACCTTAGAGACTAACAAATTTGAGCATAAGCTTTTGTGGACTTCCTGTGTCTCCCCACCCCCCCGGCAATACTTAGGTTATAAGCTTTTTGGGACAGGGGCCATCTGTTTGTTATGCATTTGTATGGCACCCAGCATGGTGGGGTCCTGGTCTATGCTGGGCTCCCAGGCACTGCTGTACCAACATAAGTGGTCAATTCCTGGTGCTGCACTGTTTGGGTTGCAGTTCTGCAGGGGAATGTTTGTTTAAAACTGTTTCTAGGGGGGGGGAGGAGGGAAGAGAAGGGAGAAATGGAATGTATGAAAATGCATCCGAAGAAGTGGGTTGTAGCCCACGAAAGCTTATGCTCTAATAAATTTGTTAGTCTCTAAGGTGCCACAAGTACTCCTGTTCTTTGTATGAAAAGGGTTTTGTAAAAGTGAACTCTGGCAAAAATATAAGTTGCAGGCTGTCCTGAAAGCTTCCAATTGTGCAGAAAGGCATGAGGAGCAGCATCCACCCAAGTGTCCTCTCTCACTGGAATCTCACTTTAAAGGTGGTAAATTAAAGCTGTATAGCATGTTGTATGTGTGGGAGGGAACTCTTGATTATGCCCTTAGACTTGTACAGCACAAAGAATGAACGTTAACATTATGGATTTAGTTTCAGGCAGGGTTTTTGTAAATGAATGTATTTAAAGAAATGAAAATGGCATGAGCCACTAGAGAGCAGAACTGAGTTGCCCCTTTTTTGATGGCATAAACCATTAGTGCTATCAGCTTCACTAAAAATAGGGATGGGTCCTTCAGTTTTAGCTCTTGGATATGTAAGTGGGAGGAATAAGAAATATACCCAGCACATGCTAAGCCACCACTGTTTGTGCCAGACCATCTTAGGTCTACATGTGGAAAAAACACAAATAAGGCCAGCTGCTCTTCAGGTGAGGTTTGAAGAGGGTGTAGACACCAAGGACCTCATTTACTGTGGGGTCAGTCAGGAGTAACTGCACTGAACTCAAAGGAATGGTCAGGATCAAAGTCCCTCTATGGGAAACAGACAATGAAGGTGTGATTGCAGTGTGGTTAGGCATACCTATGCCAGTTGTAATCTAGCTAGCATGGGGGACAATGGCAGTGAAGATGCAGTTGTCATGAACCCCAGCAACTTGAGTACATACTCTGGCTTCCTGGCTGGCTTGCACTGGAGCAGCTAGCCTGCACTGAAGCCCATGTGGAGAACAGTGGTAGTGAGGATGTGGCAGCACCACCTAGATTAGAGCTAGCCTGGATAGGTTTGCCTCTGCTACAGTCACCTTCATTTGCAGTACAGAGGTACCCTGACTTAAAAGCAGAGGAGGACCAAGGGGAGAGAGGGAACTAAGTTGCCCACAGTCATAATACACCAAGTCTTAAGCCAAATTGTTTGCACTCATGGTGAATAAGGACATTTAAGAGGCTCTAGAGTTGCTTGCCCCCAGGCTTGTCCTCTCCCCATCATTCAGTTGTATTTGAGATTAAGGCCCCAGACCTGTCTAGAGCTCAATGTGCCTGCAAACCCCACTAAGGTCAGAGACACTGCTGCTTTCAGGATTGGTGTGTCAAGGATAGGCTGGCTTGGGGATTGGTAATGGTACAGAGTGCTTTTCCTCTCCAGGCTGGCAGTTCAAATCCACCCAAGTCTACTACTGAGCTAATATGACAATTCAATGGCTGCTTGACAAATGGAGGTGGTTTTGCTTTAGTTCCTACTTTGCTACCAATTAGCCCCCCTTTGTTGGCTGTCTCAGCAGTGAGACCAAGGAATGAACTAGTATGGAGTCAGAATCTCCCTGCGATCCCTAGGGATGGCTGAGGGATTGAGGGATACTGACAGGTTGCTATCAGAAGGGACATTTGCACTGCTGCTGTATCTGTTCTGTGGCTAGAAGACTCCAGCCCATGTGGCTGTCCAGCCAGCACCTTGCTCTCAAATGGCTGAGGAAATCTGATTTTGCCAGTTGCAAATGCAGGGAGCTGTATGTGACACTGGTACCAAGAGAAATATGCTTCTATAACTTTCTCACAACATTTAACATCACTGTGTAATGTTACATGCTGAAGGACTCAGGTTAATCTTTACAGTGATCTGTTGCATAGTTGAATACTGCCTTTGCAAGCATGTGCAACAGGGAGGGAGGTAGGTGAATTTAGCTCATGTCTCCCAAAATACAAGCATAAACCTCCTAGGGCACATGTACACTGCATCTGGGAATCAGCCTCCAAGCCCAGGTGATGTTGCAGTTCTGGATGAAACTCTGGCTCTGAAGTATTGCAGGAAAGCAGGGTGAAGGGGCAGGGCTTGAGAGCTCAAGCTCTGCTATCTATCAAATATCAGTAGGGTGACCAGATGTCCCGATTTTATAGGGACAGTCGATTTTTGGGTCTCTTATATAGGCTCCTATTACCCCCCACCCCCGTCCCGATTTTTCACATTTGCTGTCTGGTCACCCAAAATATCAGCTATTTTTAGAGCACTAATGTGAGCCCCAAAACGGACATACCCCTAGATACCTGGTTTTGTTTAAGTTACTTGCCATGAGGGAATGGCTATATTTTTTTTTTTTTTGAGAGAGAGTTTTACAGCATTAGAGCTCTGACAGAAAGCATGCCATTGTGTTCTTTTCTTCAAGCAATATACAATTCAGCTCTGCTTTGGAAGACACTGGGGGGGGTAACAGCTTAATGGAGACATTTTATTAATAAACCATTTAGGCAGCCTGTCAATTTACATAGCATTTTCAGCACTAAGGCATGTGTTCTCTCACTAAAAGAGTAGACAAGAAATAGGGTAGGACACACAAGGGAAGAGAGAAGAGGTGAGGAGGAAGTAGGTTGTATGGAGGAAAAGAGGTGAGAAAGGGCAGTTACTGGGAGATTAATCCCTCCTAGCCCGGAATGCAGAGTGAAGCAGAGAGGGAAAGATGAGGGAAGAATGAAGTGTGTTAACAATTGAAATATAGCTAGGATGCTAAGTATTATTTGTATTATTGTAGGGCCTAGGAGCCCTAGTCATGGACTTAAGACCCCATTGTGCTAGGCTCTGTACATAGAAAGACCTAAGGGGCTCACAGTTTAAGTGATGAATTTCCATACCATATGGAGAGTCTTCAATGTTGTCATAAAGCCTGCTGTAACCTCTGACCTCTGCAAAGAAGAGTGCAACTGTGGGGATGCTGATCCAGGGAAGTGACTGGAGAGCATATTTTATCTCAAGCTGCACCTGATTCTAAAGATAAAAGCAGATAGGTTTTAATTTTTCAACAGAACTTGTGTACCTTCATGAAAATACCAGAGTGACTTTTCTGCAGAACAGGAAGAGCAGAGGCACTGCCAACGTCATGCCTGCTTCTGCCCCAGATCAGTGCACCAATTAAACCACGCACAATACACTCCTTTTGTAGACACCTAGAGCACCACCCTCCTAATGAGCCTCATGAATCAAGTTTCCCCTGCCATGCTCTGTCAGGAGACATTCATTATGCGATGCCAGTACAGTCCTGCTGATAGTTGTCTTTGCAGTCATAAGGTTGCTCATCAAGAAAGTAGCACTTTGTCCCTTGATATCTGTTCCTCTCTACCTTTAAATATGCAAAACCTCCCTGCCAGTGTATTTTTGGCAGAACTACTGTTGGCCTCCTAGATATGCTGGGCTGGAAGGGCCTCACCAGGTCAACTAGTCCATCCCCCTGTATGGAGGCAGAATAAATGTATAATTATGAGTTCTCTTTCCACCTACCATTGCTTTTGTTCTTAAGGTGAAGTTTCATGTTTGCATAATGTAATTTAGCCTTGAAATTGGAGGGTGCTTTATTTGTATTTTTGATTTATCTGATGTGCTCATTTCCTCCATCACCTGCTGCCTAAGGTTAGGAAGCTGCCAGTCCCGAGTTCTAATTCTGGTTTATTCACGGACTTACTATTTAGTCTTGGGCCACTTAAACTCTGCCTCGGTTTCCCCAGTTTTCAAATGGTGAGATCTACCTCTTTCAGGGGTATTGAAGGTTAATTAAGGTTCTACTGTAGAGTTAAGACGACCTCAGGGAATTGGAGGTTGTTTGTAACTCTGAACAAAATGTTGCTCTTTCAAGTTGACTTAATACAGCTTTGAAGCCTTACTATGCAGAAGAAAACATGCTACTTAACCATCTTAAATGAACACAAGTACAGAAGCAGTTTCCTTCTCAAATCTTCCACCCCCCCCAAACAAAAAAGTCAGTCTATGTGGATCCTCTTAATATTTATCACAAATATTTAGAGCCCTATCCAAATATTTGAAATGTGACAAAAGCATATCTAACCTTAACTCAGCACAGAATACGAATTCTTGAGAGGTAAAGTTCAATCTGCCACATAACTGGCAAATTAGACTAGGAAAAACTGAAATTCTGCTCACCTCTAGAAACTGGGGGTGTTGCTTCAGAGAGTGATCGAAAACCAAGTAGTAGCTCAAAGTTGCAAACAGCAAATAAAGCACAAGTGCACCAAGATTTGTTACAATAAGGAGACTGATGATCTGTCGAAAGGGCTCATCCTCTGGCCATGTGGTTGGATACACATATGGTGTAAAAAAGTTGTAATCTACATAGTTCAGGACGAGATCCATTGTTATACCTATATAACGTAAAGAGTGCATTAATGCCCTGCATCCAATGTAAACAGTTACATGTCAATGGCATAAAACACCACAATTCTAAGTGTTCCAAATTCATGATAAATACATGTATTTAATCTGCATGTACTTGGATAATCAAAAAATTTCACTGGACTGTTGTAAATGGTAGTATGGTGGACTATAAATTGTACATTGTGTTCTTGTATACAAGATGTATACTTGCAACAAAGCATATTCCATACTTGTGAAAAAACCAGTGTGACTGCTGCAGTCACAAAACAGGTATAGTTGGGTAACAGCTATAGTTGGGTAACAGCTATGAAGCTTCCCCACTTGTGCCTCAGTGAAGACTAAAGCCCTAGGTTTGTCCTAGCCATGACTTAGAATTTTTTCCCACAAGTAGTGAAGTGGTAAAATTTTGAAAAGTAGTAACTAGCTTAGGAGCCTGAGTCACTGATTTTTAGTGGCACATAAGCCTGTAGACCCAGATCCTCAAAGGTATTTAGGCACTTAACTCTGGCTGATTTGAGTGGAAATTGGGAGTCTAAAGATCTTAGAGAATTTGTGCCCTAAGCACTTTTGAACATTTTACCCAGTCCTCCCGTTACAGTTGCTACACAACAGTGGTTCTCAACCTTTCCAGACTGCTGTACCCCTTTCAGGAGTCTGATTTGTCTTGCATACCCCAAGTTTCACCTCATTTAAACTGCTTTCTGACAAAAATACAAGTGTCACAGCATACTTACTGAAAAATTGCTTATTTTCTCATTTTGTCTGTATGAAATTTTAGTTTGTACTGTCTTTGCTAGTGTGTTTTATGTAGCCTGTTGTAAAATGGAGGCAAATATCTAGATTCTAGATGAGTTGAGGTACCTCCTGGAAGACCTCTGCATACCTGGCACATGGGTACATGTGTCCCTGGTTGAGAACCACTGCTATACAAGACCACACTTTTAAAAAAAAAATGTTGGCAATGTGCTGGTGTATGGGCCATTAAATGGCTTTAAACTACTAGGTGCATCATATTAGTAAATGAGTTAAACAGTTTTTCATGCAAGATTGCAACTTGTACTAGTCCCCCAGTTAATGGGTCATAAACTTCCCCTGATAAATAATTCATTTCAAAGACGCTTAACACTCATAAGCTTCTTTTGAAGTTCCAGCCCCAAATACATGCCATGAACTTGCCTCTTACCAAAAATTATGATTCTTCTGTCTCTCGCCATGAGAGTTTTAACCATGGCCTGAAGTGGCCACATCTGAAGCAAGGTCGATGGGCATGGCCCATCAAGTCCCTGGCTTCTCTGCTGTGGCAACCATTTGTTATAATTAGACCCTAAATTTCTGAATTTTCAAAAAATTTTAAACAAAAACTCTCCAATTTTTGACCAGCTCTTGTAATAAAGACACCTATCTACTGGAGAGCTGCATTTTTTAATCTACTAATGAAAAGTGCTATATAAGAAATATGCAAAATAGTTGTAGCTGTGTCAATCCCAGAATATTAGAGGAGACAAGGTGGGAGCAGTAATGCCTCACCCATCTTCTCTCCAATAGAAGAAACAGGCATTTTTTATTAGTGGTGTTTCACTGCCTTGGAACCCCGCTTGTGGCCCAGGACCTCTGTGCTAGATGTTCTACAAAAACAGAGCAAAAGGACAGTCCATGCTGCAAAGAGCTTACCATCTAAACAAGAGTGGACTGAGACCAAGTCATTTCATAGCACAGATCAAAACTAGGCAGGGGGGCAGATCATGATCCCTTTACTCTTAAGAGGTGACCTGTTAAATACAAAGGCGCTACAGGTGCGAACAACTTTCAGTGTGAGTAAGGGGTTCACTGTCTCATGGATGGTAGCTGATTTCTCTCAAGAGTGACCCTAGGATGGCAGCAGATTTCTCTCGAGTGACCTAAGCCAGATAAGAAGAATCAGTGACGTAGACATACAAAAATTCTTTCCCTCTTGCTGGACTCTTTAAAATAGAAGATATTTACAAATGCCTCCCCCTATGCAATTTGGGAAGGTAAAACTGTTTGTCAGATATCATAAAAAACAGACAGAGCACTGATAGTACATCCCTGAAAAAAAAGGGAAGTGACACAGGAAGAGGAGCTGGTAGGTAGAGGGAAGAGGACAGTTTCTGCCCCTATCTGTGTCACTGATGTGCATGCAGTGGGGTGATAGCCCACAGCCAGAACTGAACCTCCCACCCTGCTGGGATGGTCTCTGAACTGGGAATGTGGGGGTTAGTGCTACACCACCATGCACCCCCTTGTTGTCCCCCAATCTCCTGCACCCCCTTTCCCTTCCTGCCCAGTCTCCCCCTTGCACCAGTCTGCAGCCCCTCCCCAGTCTGCATTTTGGGACTATCCAAGCACCCATTGAAGTCTCCTCCTTTCCCTTCCTGCTCCCCCTTTCCCCAGCCTCCCCCTGCACCCCCTTTCCCTTCCTGCTCCCCCCCTTTCCCCAGCCTCCCCTGCACCCCCTTTCCCTTCCTGCTCCCCCCTTTCCCCAGCCTCCCCCTTGCACCAGTCTGCAGCCCCTCCCCAGTCTGCATTCTGGGACTAGTCCAGCACCCACTGAAGTCTCCCCTGCACCCCCCGTCTACCTGCCCCAGGCCGAGCCCCTCGCCGCTGACAGCCCGGGTCCGAGTCCGAGGCGAGCAGCTGTAGGCTGAGATGGGGGCGTGGCCGCCTCGGCTCCCCCCCAGGGAGGCGGGGCTTAGGGGTAGCCTGATGAGGCGTCAGAGCCCGGCCCGGCTCGCGCCAGGCTGGCGAGTTGGGTGACGCAGGCGGCGCGCGGCCGGGGCGGCCTGGCCGGGCGGCTCCCGCAATAGGTGGGCGCCGGCTCCGCCCCGCGAGCGATCCCGGGGGGCGGGGCCAGGATGGTGATGAGCGCGTGGGGGTTTCTGCAGGTCCCCGGGCCCTACCAATCAAATGCACGGTCGCGGCGCAGGTGTCCTGCGTGCAATTTTCAGATGCGAGACGGGGGTGGGGGGGAAGCTTGGCACCTTTATGCAGCTTCAAAGGTGCTAGCAGAGCAGGCAGCCCCCAGAAGGCAGGACTAGATTAGTAAAATGGCCCCTTTATCAGTGCATCTCAGCCTTGCAGCGATGGTGCAAATCGTGAGGTCACTAACAAGATTACAAAAGGAGGTATGTTTACTATTAGAAGGCGGTATCAGAATCTTAGAGCTGTAGGGCTGGAAGGGGTCCCCAGAGGTTCATCAAGTCTAGCCCCTTGCACCCAGAACCAAGTAAACCTAGACCGTCCCTGACTGATGTTTGTGTAACCTCTACTTAAAAACCTCCATTGGTGGGCATTGCACAACCTCCCTTGGAAGGGTATTCCAGAGTTTAACTACTCGTTTGCGCCAGAATCAGTTAATGAGCTCTATGCCTGGAAGTATTTGATAACAATTGGCATTTCTAAGCTATAGAAGGGAGAAAAGCCAGTCTGTTGAAAAGAAACAAAACAAGACCCATTCTGGGGACTTGGAGTTCTTACATTACCATGGAAGTGTATGCTGTAGAAAAACCCTAAGATAGAGACAAGAGGTGTGGACTGAAGGAGAAGAGAACATCTTCTGGTCATCTGGGAAATATTCCCCTGGCCTTCAGAAAGGTTAGTTGAACACTCCTAAACACAGAACAAACTGGTTAGATGTATATATTTTGCTTAAAAATAAATAAAATATTGGGCCTGTGCCACAACATATCTGGTCTGCATTTTTAGCAGCTCACCACCCTACCCTTTCCTAAAGGAGGTTACTGGGTGTTCAGTTGGAGGGTTCTGGTTATTGTCTGTCTCTAATGACTATTCACCTTGCATAATGTTGCTCTGAAGGTTATTTTGCAATTTGTTAAACTAGGCTGGTATGAGGACAGGAAAGGTAGCAAATCAAACCAGTGATCCATCTAGCACAGGGTTTTCAAACTGGGGATCAAGACCCCTCAGGGGGTCACAAGCTGTCAACCTCCACCCCAAACCCCACTTGCCTCCAGCATTTATAATGTGTTAAATATATAAAAAAAGGGTGTTTAATTTATTAGGGGGTTGCACTCAGAGGCTTGCTTTGTGAAAGGGGTTGCCAGTACAAAAGTTTGAGACCCGCTGATCTAGCATGTTATGCCCATAACTACACACCAGAAAGAAGGCATGGAAATGCATGCAGTAGAAAATTGAGTAACCTGCCCATAGGGGAGGTTTCTTTCCAATTGCTCTATGTTGCTAAGTTACCCAGTTGATTTATTTTCAAGCACCCAAATGTGCTAGTCATCTCTCAACAGGAAATAAAGCTACATTACTAACAAAGGCCCTGATCCTGAACCATTAAAGTTAATGGACGTTTTTACCATTGACTTCAAAGGGTGCTGGACTAGTCCCAAAGAAAATACTGCCTTAACTCAACTGCCAGTCACCCATTAAAAATGATCTCATTAATAAAACAGGACTGGGAACAACTGGTAGCTGTTTGTTTCTCTCCAAATAGGTTAATGGCTTTGAAATGTTAGTTGGTATGCAAAATTGCTGATGCTCAGTGTCACTTAGGAAGGATTAAAACTCTTGCAGCTTGTTTTATGAGCAACACATGTTTGAGTGCTTGGAAAGTCCAGGCTTTGCAAATCTGAATTTAAATCAATTAACAGGTATCAAGAATTGCTCCTATAATTTATATATCTTCATAAAGCAAAATTATATTGCACTTTTGAAGGACTTGAAAGCTATGCTGTTTTGAAAGCTTCCTTGTTTTATTAAGAGAAAATATGAAGTACAGTGTAGTTTGAGAGGGGGTAGAGATTGTTGCTGAGGCTATTAAAAAAGCAAACAGAAGGTCATCCCTTATGGTGACACCATAAGCAATATTGGTGCAGCCATAGGAATAGGAAATGTATAATGATGAAGATCAAGGACCTATATTGGGCTTGAGTCTTTGTTTCCAGATTTTGGAGCCTAATCCGGTTCTCTGCTGGCAAAGTTCTCAGACTCCAGGATGTTGGTGGATTTACTAATATTAAGTTACTTGTATTTTGGTAACCCCCCCGAAATATATGTTTACAAGTGTAAACTGTAGAGTAATACAGAATTATAAAGTCAATTCTAGCTTGGGGTTCCCCCCCCATTTCTTTTTATTTAAGGGACTTGAATTTCTTTTTCATGGCAAGTTGATATAGGACTTTATTCCCCCTGTAAAAATGGCATGATATGTATAAAGATACAGCTACACTTATGGTGGTGTGTAGAGTACAGACATTGCATGTCCAACTCGCATGGGTATAGATAGCAGTGAAGACAGTGAGGTATGGTTTAGGAGAGTAGAGTGCCCTACACTCCTGAACCCCCAGAATACATACCCTACATGGATCTCTATGCATCCATGCAGTGCCTTCCACATCTACACTGCTACTTTTAGCATGTAGTGTCCTGCTGCCTCCCAGTTGGGAGAGTCTTTCCTCACCACAATGAGGGGTCTGGCAGTGGTGAAAGGCTCTGGCAGCAGTGAACTGGAGCCTTTCACTGCTTGATGTAGTGACACACCACAGTGACAAGTGTGGACACAGCCTGATTTCACCATCAGGTGTAGCTACACATGCACTGCCTGTACGCTACATGCTACAGTATGTGAAATGGAAAGTGACACTGACCAGTCCAAGTAGAGTCAAGGGCAAAGGAGGAACAGATGGGGCAAATGGTGAAAAGAACATAAAACCAAAATTTTCAAACTTGAGTGCTAAAAATTAACCCTTTGACTCCATTATTAGTTCCCCTGCACACACAGTTGCATCTAGTGGCCCTACTAAAGTTGGGGCCCCACTGTGCTAAGCAATTAGTACATATTGGGAGAGAGTCTCTCCCTTGATTAGCTTACACTTTAAAATTCACAGAGTGCAGGGGAACAGAGGCACAGACAGGTGGAGGGACTTTGCCCACCCTCACACAGCAGGTGATTGTGAGAGCTAGGAGTAGAATGTGTGTCTCCTGGACTTTTCCTCCAGTGCCCTGTCTACTAGACCAGGGGTTCTCAACTTTTTTCTTTCTGAGCTCTTCCCCCCCCCCCCAATGCTATAAAAACTCCACAGCCCACCTGTGTCACAACTGTTTTTCTGTATATAAGAGTCAGGGCAAGCATTAGTGAGTAGCAAGCAGGGCAAATGCCTGTGGGGCCCACATCACAGTCCCTACAAATCTAAATTACTTACTGTAACAGGGTTCACTCACCACTGTGGCACCTCCTGCTGGTTGTCCTGGGGATTAGCTCTGTTCACCAGTGCACCCTCCAAGGGTGGTGCCTCACCACCATCACTCCTGCTCTAGGACCCATGTCTCTCTAAGGACCACGGTATCCTCTTCTGTAACACAGCTCTCTGGCTGTGCTCCCCCCTTCTGGGGGGGGGGGGGGGGGAGGGAATCTGCAGTCTGCTGTTCAGCTACTTCCCTTACCTCAGGGCCTCAGTCTGCAAACCCTAGCATCCAGCCAGGAGTTGTTGCTCATGCCCCCAGTCCCTGCTAGTAGTACTGCTCCAGCCAGGGTGCTGGTAGTTCTCTCAGTCCTCCAGAGGCAGTCCTTCTTCCAAGAGTTCCCAGTAAAGAACTGTTGTCTGCCTTCCAGCTCCCTTTTTATATGGGCCTGCTTAGCCCTGATTGGCTGCTCCCTTCAGCCCTTCTCTGATTGGCTGCCTCCTGTGCAGACTCTCTAGGGCTTTATTAACCCCTTAGAGCCCAGTGCGGGGCCGGTGCCCTATCAGGCTTTGGTTTCAACCCTGGGAGGGGCTCGGGGCCCCAGGCTTCAGCCCATGCAGTGGGGCTTCAGCTTTCTGCCCTGGGCCCCAGCAAATCTAATGCTGGCCCTGCTTGGCAGTCTCCCTGAAATCTGCTCATGGCCTCCTAGGAGGCCTCGGACCCGTGGTTGAGAACCACTGTACTAGACCATGCTTCCTCTTACAGTTAGGCAATTAAGTACATGTGGTCTTCCCTTCAAAGGTGCTGAGGTAACTGAAGTCCCTGGATCCTGTGGGGGCTTACCACATCTGAAAAATCAGGCCGCTTTTTAGCTAGGTGCCGAAATATGCATTTAAGGGACCTAAGCTTAAGTACCCAAGTTGATTTCAGAGGACTTGCACTGGCATAAAACTGGAGTGATGATGATGATGATGATGATGAATCAGACCCAAAATGCATGTAGATTTTAATCTTGATCGTGTCTGTTTATGAGGACAGTGAGGGGCATGACACAAAATGTAGATTACTGAAAATACTTTGTACGTTTCAAAGTCAGGTCAACTCCTGGTAAGGTGTTTGAAATTCCATTCTTAATAACAACCCAAGCCATCTCTCCTTAGTTACAGCAAACAATCAGTGTAGCAACTGGAAGAGGCACAAACATTCGATCTTCAGGTGTGTACACGCCAAAGAAAATGGTATCAGATATACGTGAAATGAGGAGCACTGTTTTACGAGCTGTTCAAATAAGTCAAATGATCCAAGTTATGTTTAGACACAAATCGACAAACGGTGCGTATTGTCTTGACATACAGCCTCAGTCTCATTCTTTTCCTTTTTCCTTTTCTTCCTTTTGTGCTGTAATTTAACACGATGCTGTTTGGAATATTTCTGTTTTTGCTGCAGCACAAGCTACCGCAAGCTGGAGACAGTGTTGTCTAATAGTTAAAGCGGGAGACATGGAGTCTCTTCCTACTACAGCTACTGATT